GAGTCCGCGACTCGCGAGTTGACACGCCACCGGCCCACCGCCAGTTCCGGATCGCAACGGCAACGCCGCGATCGAGGCGGCTCAATGAAAAACAGATAATATATGCGCATGCGCGACGAATAATTAGAATATATCAGAAAACAATCTTAATTGATTAATATCTCCGGTATTATTGACTACCAAACGTTAAATTCGGTAAATTCGTGACCACCAAACGATTTCCGTTCGATTTGACTATAAATGGGCCAAAAAATAAATTAGAATCAGGTTATGTCGGCCAACGTCATATGAAATTTTGAATTGTTAATTACTGCCTAAGTAATTACCACCAAATACTAAAAGTGGGATACCAAAGACCACCAAACGACCACCAAACGATTGAGTAAGGCGAATATTGAAAAATTAACATTTGGTAGGCCATACACATGTTGCCCGGTTATAGAAAGCGATTAGACAAAAGTGAGGTTATAGATACCTATTAGTATTAGGCAATCCCTTAGACAAGGAAGGAGAGGGGACTCGTAACACAGTAGGTGAAAATGAAGCAGTTTGCCACCAAAAAATTTCTGCTTTTTTCATAACATAACCTAGAAAGCATATTGTTTTTTGTCTGTTAAATGTAATCCTGTCGACTTTTTTTTCTCTGCGGGTTTTGCAGCCATACGCTAGCAATCCACCATGCTGAATATCACAAAAATGTTAGTCTGAAGTAAAATTCACATAGTGGCACCATGAAAAATTGTCGCCATTATTTGGTGGCAAACGGTCACAATCAGCTACTAGTGCAGGTAAAGGATGTTACGCGTCCTCTCTCTTTCCTTGTCTAAGGGCAATCCAAAGACCTGTCAAAAATGGCGCCTAATTGGCTACGTTCACCAGAACCAAAACGGATTGTAAACAGTTTACAAACACCAACAGAATGCGTATGATAAACCCTTGGTTCTGCTGAACCTTAGAGCAGGTAAAGGTAAAGGAGTAGTAACCTGGATTTAGAAAATGAAGCCGTTTTTTTCCAGGTATCTTGGCCCACAAAAAATGGCGGTTATGGCAATTCAATGCTCTACCTGTATTTTGGTGCCAAACACCTGCCAAAATCTTGGCTTCACTTTAGTTTCATGAGCAGAATGGCGCGTTCCTACTCCTTATGTCCGTAGGACAGCGCTTTACCTGCTCTAAGTGCTGAACGGTTCAACTTTTCAATGATAGAACGTCACCCCATGTCTGTCACCACAGTTGAATTCGGAATAGGATTGTAGTGTGGCGCTAGAGCGGTATTCGTGTAGTGCAGGGTTATATCACATGATGAAGGTATAATCGGCGGTCGGTGTAACTCCGAATACACCATCATTTTGTACTGAGTAAACGGTGTCCCACCATCTTTAGAGCCGTTTTACACGGCAAAGTTTCTTCACGAAATTACTTATGAAATTGTTGCCGAAATATTTCGTCAGTCAACTTTTCCTGTTTTACACGACAAGAAAAACTTACGAAATATTTCACGAATAAACTTTAGAAAATATTCTATAGTTTTTGTGGGCGTACGTGGCCGAAAATATGCGTGAGTTTCGGCGCACACTAAAAGGCAGTTTTTTTTTCCGTGGAGCCTATGAATGCGTCATTGAATTTCCTATGTAATAGATAAGGATAGACTGCTCATCGGTGAAAAAAGTAATGCACCCAAAAACAGCTGGGCAAATAAAAAAAAAACAAACTTTATTTATGGAAGGGAAAAACAAATTCAACTTTATGAAACTGCAGGAGGGTATAAAGATTCAACTACAATTAGAAAACGGAAGTTTTATTTGTTTAGGTTTATTGAAGTATGAGGTTATGATTTGATATTATTGATGAAACAACGTAACTGCGCCTGCGTATGACTAATATTTTCACGAAACTTTTGCTAGACTTTTATTTGCCGTGTCAAACAGGAAAAAGCGAAACCAAGAATAGTAAACTTACGAAATATTTCGGCAATAATTTCCTGAATAATTTCGTGAAGAAACTTTGCCGTGTAAAACGGCTCTTACACCATTCGGGCACCAAGTTATTTTCAAACGCAAATAAAGTGTACACCAAACTTCACCAATTAACGAACGCCACTGTGCCAATAGTGTAAAAAGTGTCAACACTTTGTATCATTCCGAACTCACCTCCCTCACACAAAACACAAAGTGTTGAAAATTAAAAACACTCCTAAACCCACTGTATCCTAAACCATTTGTAAAACATGTTTGGTTTCAACACAAATTCAACGTAAGTAGCGTTCAGCAGCTCAATCGCAAAGCGTTTACCAACGTTTGTATCTAGTGAACGTGATCAATGGTCATCCAACTGTCAAATGTTCTATAACCGCCAGCAACTCAGGTCCTGCATAGGTTACTGAATTCAATACCGTGTTATGAATACGTGACGTCATTGATTTCCCCTATTACCGCTGCCCCACTAAAATTTCAACGGTTAGAGATTTTCAGTTACCGTTTATTTATAACACGGATACAAACGGTAAAACGCTAAGAAATCCTTATTACCTTGCATGTTTTGGGACTTAATCCAAAATTGGAATAATTCACCAAAAGTTTCTGTGAATATTTTGGGGTTGAGATAAAGTTGAGATTTTAACCGAATTTTCGCGACGAATTTAGTTCATCAATAGTTCAATTGTGACGTCATCAGTTTGAACGCTGGCTTGAATTTGCGTCCATGCTTCCGGCGAACTACCTTTAATATAATGTCATGAGTTTCTCGCGAAAACGTTTGAGTTCATGGAATCATGGAAGCAGTTCGTCGCGAAAATTAGGTTATAGTCCCAAAAAATGCAAGGTAATTGACCCAAAATAACATTTATTATTTTGGAATGCACTTTTTTTATTATTTGACAACTGTCAGAAAGTCATTATCTACAAGGGTTTTTTCATTAATACTGATTATTTTAAATAAAATTAATTTTAACACTTTCTGGAATTCATTTGTAGGAGGGTAATAAAGACAAACTATGTGTAAAAAATCCTCAGAAATCGACTTAATCTATCTTAAATATACCGTTCCATTTGAAAATTTTAAGAAAAGTAGGAAACATTCAATTGTTTCCAAATATCAACTCATAGCGTCAGTCCTACTAACCAGAATTTAGATTTTTCACAACAAAATTAAAGAGCAGACTTTTGTTTTTCCAACGAACCTAAAATTGACCAGAGTTGTTGAGTCGTTTTGAAGTTATCCGTTTTCTTGAGTTGCAATATTTGACAGCTCATAACTGTCTTATCCGATAAGTTTGGAAAAAAGTCATAAATCAAAATTGTGTGAAATTTTATCAAAAATCCATTGCTAGCATTTTTAAGATACGTTTCCATTTGAAATTTCAAAAATAAAATCATTTTTGTACTTTGACAGTTGAGTTACGCCCCCTTGCGGTCATTTTAGGAAGCTGAAATATATTTTCAGCATTTTCTCTTGGCCATATTTATGGGATAATTTTTTTCCGACAAGACTACGATGAATAGCTTTTGAGAAATGGCCGAGTGCCATTCTTAATGAATCACCCTGTACATGAAATAAAAAAAGTATAATATACAGGGTGTCCCAATAGAAAGTGACCGATTTTAAATGCTTATAGCTTTTAAACCAGGTGTCCTAGCTACCTGCGATTTGCGCCATTCGACTTTTCTTGGCCTAAAGTTTTTTTTCAGTTAGTTGCAAATTTTTTTCCCACCTCTACAGGGCGAGTAAAAAAAATGCCGTTTTTCAACATTGAAATTCTCCACTATTTTTAATGGAACACCCTGTATGTTGCAACGCCAAAATTAGGAGTCGTGACCAAGGTATTCATTTGCCAATAGATGTCGGCCTTTTTTGAACCTGAAAAAAAGCATTTATTTTTCGCCCAGATTTCTATTTCAATTTTTTAGGGCTAAAACTTCAAGTTCTATGCCCGATGTTTATTGGTACATCAATACCTTGTACACGACTCTTAATTTTGGCGTTGCAACATACATGGTGTTTCAATAAAAATAGTGGAGAATTTCGATGTTGAAAAACGGCATTTTTCTACTACCCTCTCACTCGCCCTGTATAAGTGTGAAAAAAATTTACAACTAACTGAAAAAAACTTTAGGCCAAGAGAAGTCGAATGGTGTAAATCGCAGGTAGCTAGCACACCTGGTTCAGAAGTTATAAGCATTTACAATCGGTCACTTTCTATTGGGACATACATTAATGGCCGTTTGCACCGACTGTTTTAAGGAAGCCTTAACGATAATTCTACGTTAAAATGACATTTTTGCTTGGGAAAATGTCACTGTAAGGGTAAGGAATACCTTCTTATCGTTAAGCCTTCTATAAATTGGTCGGTGCAAACGGCCATTGATGTAGATACTATTTTTCCTTTTGCACGATAAGTGTTTTCACTCACATTCGAATAAACAAACGTAGTGGGTAGTTTTATCGCATTCATCTCCATCATGAATAAATATTAAAATGTCTTCGCATAAATTTCAATACGCAATGAGCGACAAATAAACAAAACATGCGGCACTTCTAACGGACAAGTCCAACAGGCCGTCCCGACATTTTGACCCCTGATCTAGCCCATGTAGTAACATTATGCCGCTCAAAATAACCACACTGAATTTGATTGGTCATGTTTCCGGGATATGGCTAGATTGGGCGGCAGAATGTTTTGATCCAACCGGTACCCAGTTTTCGTTGCGGATCCAATTTCAGACGGGTTTCGGTGTTCTTGCATCTCGTGAGTGAGTCAATCATTTTTGAATATTAACGCATATAGTAGAAAGAGTATAAACCCTCGAAATCTGGGTAGCGGTTTGTCAGTATTTTGCTCTCAAATTGTAATAAAGTCATGGAACCGACTTGATGCAAGATTTAATGTTTGGTACCGGAAGGCCCGTTAGAGAATCCCTCAGAAATTCTTTTTTAAAGACAGTATTCAGATTATTTAGTTACGCAATACTCGACTGACAAATAACGCCATTATTATATTCTAGATTCTTCTCATGAGTCAAGAAATTTTCACAGCTGATTTAGATTTTCTATTGCGATTTCCTTTGAAACCGCACGTGACGAGCCCAGTAGAATTCTTGTCAAACACCTGCTGGGGAGGAATTTGCAGTTTGGCAACGCGAGACGAATTCAGAAATCTCGACAGGGATATTGAAAATTCCCCGAAAAGATGGAAAAAGTTGGTGGAATGCGAATGTCCGGAAAGAGAAAAGTTTCCGCAGGAATGGAAAAGTAAAACGGCGTTGCAACGATTGTGCATGATGCGAGCTTTAAGGCCCGACAGAATGCTGTATGCTATGATGTAAGTATGAAAAGTAGAATTGTTGATTTTTTTTTTGTCTACGAGCCAGCAACGTATTAGTTCCGTTGTGAAATCAAATCAATTACTGCCCAAAAACAGTTAACAAGCCAAACTATGAGTATTGTAAAATGTAGGTAAATAACGCAAAGCTTACTAGTACAGACAAATAAGGATTCATTTGCTGAAAAAATCTGAGTGAGCTAAAACTTTGCATATACTTTTACCGTTATTATACTAATACTATATTATGAGTAGGTGCCTACTCTGTGCCATATCACTTTATTGTCACACTCATTGAGGCTTGATAGACACATAATTCGTTTGAGTAGAAAATAATTTAATGATTTCTCAAATAAAAATTGCGGATAATGCACTTTTTTCAAAAATATGGGCCTTTCAAGTTTGTACTATTTTTTGTTGCGGCTGACGTTGTCATCAATGATATTCAATATGGGCAGCTGTGGGAGAACTGATGTTTTTTTGTTTATTTTGAGTTTATTTGGAATATTTTTGAGCTAATTTCGGTTTACTTTGTTATAATATACTTTTCGAGATGCAGAATATTTAAACACTTTAATGCAGGAAAATTTGGATGTGGGCGAACGGTAAGTTTGAAAAAATGTCTGGTTGATATTTGTTTACATTTTGACCCACAGTTTTTACAGCAAATGAGCAAATGAAGGCCTACAAAAGCTTAGATTCTTACAAGTATTTCGATATGGCTTTATTTCAAATGCAGGAACAGTGGTACTGAATACATTCATGTTTTCATAGGAAAAGTTTAAAACGGTGGGCACTGAAAAACACCTGACATCATCCTTGTTACCTTGTTGAAACTACTTCCACAATCAACTACAATATTTCATGTGTTTAGTCGACGTCGAAGCGATAGGAGTGTCTTCTAATTCAAAAATCCTCCACAACATTTCTTCTAAAAATTTCAATCGTTTGGACTTCATGGAAGATATTGAGATCAGTAAAGAGTTGCGCAACAATGAACTATGTCTTAACACTCAGGTGAATCTGAATAGATCATACATCCCCTTGCATAGACGCCTTTAAATAGTTCTTCCTGACCATCGTTGTGTGGACTCGACGGCCATGTTGTTTTCCCTCAATGTCTCTTCTTTTCTTCTTTCTTATTCCATTTGATTTACAACCTAACCTGGGTTCGCTTTGGCCATTTGTCTGTCTCGAAGTGTCAACTGTCTTCGATAATCATCATGTCATTTCAAAATTTGAAAGTCATCTTCATTCGATGGGTTCTGGTTTCCGAACGACACGTTTTTTAATTAAAAATTCTAATAATCTTAAATTTAGGATATAACACAAAGATTATAATTTCAAAGACTACGAAAAATTAAGGCATAACTGACCAAAATTTTAAAAGTTCAACAGATTGGACCCTAAAGCCAGCATTGTGAGAGTAATGTCTATAACTCAGTTCCTTTATATAAAGAAAAAATGTGATATAATATTCTAATTTTAAAGTGTTGTTGTTACGTACGTACTTGTCCAATGTGTCGTCCCGATTTTATTGATTTTTTCTGCACTTGATTACCTGACGAAGTAAGTAGGCTAGACCCCACTCTGAGATTGACGAGTTTCACTTCGTTTAACTCATCAATCTTTTCTTATTTTTAGCATCATTTTATAAAGATTAAGTCTCCCTTCTACTTCCAGGTAGCACTGATGATGGCCTAAGGCCGAAAGCGCTCTGCACTGATTTTGAATAATTAAATATTTGCACGAAAATACACAACTTTCATTCCTCCTCATTTCCAAGCGTGCACACAGCCTTCAACCTTTGATCTTACAGAAACTACAGGAATAGGGTGAGAACCTACGATGTCCTACTCGACGTTTTCGACGTTATTGAACGTTAATCATCTGAAATGGAGTAACTTTGAGTCATAGTTTCCATTGTCGATATTGCCGAAAGCGATTTAGTGTGACAAAAGCATCTTTCTTCGAGAATATGCACGTACCAATCAGGCAGGTAATGTACTTGATTTATTTCTGGTCCTGTCTCGTACCACCAAGAGTTGCTTTCCGATTGTTGAACAAAAAACTAACAACAGTGTGCCAAATCTATCGTTTTATTCGAGATGTGATGTCCTGGAAACTTCTGGGAGTGCCCGAATTATTTCAATTAGGCGGTGATAGTGGCATAGTTCAAATTGACGAAAGCGTTGTGAACAAACGTAAAAACAATGTCGTTAGAGTTGTACTACAAGTCTGGCTACTGGGTTTGGTTGACACCACAACGAAAAGAGGTGTTGCGGTTTTTTTAAAAGATCGGTCAAGGGAATCCTTAATGGAACAAATTCTAAAGTATTGTCGCGGCTTTGGATTGCCTGACAGAAATCTTGGGTTCGTTGTTCGTTTCGATTATTCCAAAAGTCAAAGTCCAATTAACACAGCAATAATTTATTCCACGTAACAATACACTCTGACACTAATTACTTTAATAACTAACTCAACAATTAAACTCTTTACAATCACTATTTAAATCGTATCAGAGTCGAACTGAAAACTTAACTTACAAGCTAAAACCAGTCCTTATATATATCCCTAAATCTATTCCTGTGAAATCTAGAACACACACGATAATCTTATTTCTCGATTATAGTAGAATAATTCGCTAGATTCGAAAATATTCGACATCGATTCTTGACAACCTGGCGGACGCCTATTCTAGCAACAGCTTTTTTATCGTAACACTGCCCTCCTCTTAAGGTTGATCGTCCCGATCAACTTCGCGCCCATGATATTTCGTTAATATGTCTAGATGTACAACTTTCATCTTACTCCTGGTGTTGCGCTGGATTCGATAAACCAAATCATTGATCCTCTTGATTATTTTGTAGGGTCCTTCCCATGCTGAAGACAATTTCGGCGATACTCCTTTCTTTCCAGCTGGATTATACAACCACACTAAATCACCTTCTTGAAATCCGGCTGAATTGGCTTTCAGGTCGTATCTGGTCTTCATCCGGTCACTGGCTAGCTGAATATGCTCCCGAGCAAAATCATGGATACCCAGAAGTCGTGCCCTTACTTCGTCGGCATAATCTTGGATTTCTCTCCGTTCTTCTTCAGGTATCCCAAACATCAGATCGCAAGGTAACCTGAGTTCTCTTCCAAAGACGATTCTGGCTGGACTTTCACCTGTTGACTCGTGAACAGCTGCTCTATAAGCCATTAAAAACAGAGGCAAGTGTTTGTCCCAATCACACTGGTTCTTTGCGACCACTTTTGTTAGGTGTTCCTCTATGGTCTTATTAAATCGTTCTACCATGCCATCAGACTGTGGATGTTAAGGTGTTGTCGCGGTCTTACGGATTCTCATGATCTCACAAATTTTCTTAAAGATGGCAGATTCGAAGTTTCGTCCCTGGTCTGAATGTAACTCTAGTGGCACACCATGACGACTAAAAACTTCGTCCACTAGCACCTGGGCAACAGTGATGGCTTCTTGATTGGGAATAGCGAAAACTTCTGGCCATTTACTGAAGTAATCCATGATAACTAAGATGTATTTGTTACCACGCTCTGACTCTGGGAACGGTCCGGCTACATCCATCGCTATTCTTTCAAACGGAAGACCGACGTTGTACTGTTTCATGGGCCCCCGAGATCTTAGTTTAGGGCCTTTACTGGTAGCACAGATGTCGCATTTTCGGCACCAGCTTTTAACGTCTTCATGGTAGTGAACCCAGTAAAAACGTTCCCGAATTTTATCCAAAGTCTTGTTAACGCCGAAATGTGCCCCTAAAGTTCCATCGTGTATTTCTTTTAATACATCTTCCACTCGGTCTTTTGGGATAACCAGTTGGCCCTTAGTGGATTTCCCATCGGCACTTTCCCAAACTCTTTTGAGCAAACCATTTTCTACGGCCAGAGAGTTCCACTGGGCCCACAACGCTTTGTAAATCAAGCTCTTGTTTGACACTTCCCTCCATTCTGGCCTACATTCATCATTTTCTTTAAGATGTAGAATTTGCCCGATGTCCTGGTCTGCCTCCTGATCTTCTCTCATTTGTTTGGTAGTCCATTTGTTATCAACGATCAGGCCCGTTCTTCTTACAGTTGGACTAGTGTTTTTCTCATGTATATCGATTCTTTGACAATGCTTGCAATCTTCTTTACATGGCCGTCTAGACAGCGCGTCAGCATTTTTATGTAGGTTTCCAGGTCGATGTTTAATTTGGAAATCGTATTGCTGCAATTTCTCAATCCATCTAGCAAGCTGTCCTTCAGGAGTTTTCATTTCTAAAAGCCATTTTAGAGCTGCGTGATCTGTCCGAATTAGAAACTTGCGTCCATAGAGATACTCATGGAAATGGTCGACTGCTTTTACTATGGCAAGCAACTCTCTCCTGGTGACACAATAATTTCGTTCCGGCTTTGATAAGGTTCTGCTGTAGTACTCCACAACATGTTCTTGTGAATTTTGGATTTGTGAAAGGACAGCTCCAACACTGGTGTTACTTGCATCTGTGTCCAAAATCAACATGCCTTTCTGATCAGGATAGGACAACACTGGGCTCGTACATAATGCTCCTTTCAATTTTCTAAATTGAATGTTGATTTTTCTTCTGTTAATCGATGGAGCGGAGCAGCTATATTGGCGAATCCTTCAACAAATCTTCGATAATAAGAACATAATCCTAGAAAACTCCTTAGTTCATGTTTGTCGCGTGGTTTTGGCCAGTCCCTGACAGCATCTATTTTTCCTTCCATAATTTGTATGCCATCTTCAGATACCACGTGGCCTAAGAATTCCACTTTCTTTTGAAATAGAAAACACTTGTTTGGATTGAGTTTCAAGTTGGCATTCCGGAAGCGGTCAAAAACTTCTTTCAGATTGTTGAGATGTTCTTGGAACGAATTTCCCATGATCATGACATCATCCAAATATACCAGGCAAGTTCTCCATGTGAGGCCTCGCAAAACAAGATGCATCAGTCGCTCAAACGTAGCAGGAGCATTACATA